CCTGCATCCATTTAGATTTACTAGTCTAACAGTGAGCAAGTAAATACCGTACATGCACACAAAATAAAGAAGGTAAGCAGAGAAATGTATAGAACCTAGCAACTCCTTTTAGACCTGGATAAAAGTTGTAGGAAATTGTCTCAGCTTTCTTGGGTAAAAAATTGAGGTCATTTGGACTTTTAAAACTCTAAATATGGGACAAAAACTTAGCAATGCTCAGGCTGGAGGATATATTCGGACTTCTTTGTTGTTACTATAATTTGGACTTGAAAATGATATTTTTAAGTCTTGAGATCTTATGAAAGTTGTAAGCTTATGTCTTATCTTTCCATTCATATAAAGTAGACCTAAATCTGAGATCTATAGCTCCAAATATGACCCAATTATCGAACAGTGTTCCGGTTTGGACTGCACCGGCATCTCTTTTCTAAGTTTGGTCATCTTTTTGTCCTTTCAATTTCAGTTCTTAAATTCATCAATCAATCCTTTTATTTATGTGATAAGCCTGCATTTAAAATAAACATTTACCTCAAATTAAAGGTATCTTATATTATTAGATGTGTTATTATAAAACATGTTTTAGTTAAGAAGTTATTGATACTTCAAGTGCAAAATAATAATATAAAACCTTGATAAAAAATGCACTTTTAAGTACTAATTAATTCTTTTATCATACATTTTTAAAGCATTTATCACACAAAAGCTAAAAGCAAACATTCTTGTTCTTAGAGTTTAATGCTCTTCTCCTTATTTATTGCAATCTTTTACTATAAAATCACTAACTTAATCATCGAAAGGTCCCTAAATCCTATAAGAAAAGATTGTTATGTAGTGATTGAGACTTCTAACCCCCAACCCTCTACTCTTTCAATTCTCAGAAATAAAATACTGACATGAACGTGTGTTCATTCACTTTCCAAACACTTAAATCTCATTCCTGAGCATATTGGATCTTGGGAGATCACACGATTGAAAAGGACAAAAGCATGAACTATAGTGATTCTTTTTCCTTAATTGGTTTCAATCATCAACACTCTTTTTCCTTCTTTAACCTAACTATATAATCGAATGGATGATTTGAGTTTTGTTTTCCTACTTGCTCCATTCTTTTTATCTAACCTTCACTCTTTCATAAACAATAAATTTTGTAATAATGCAGAATTAAGATACAAAGAAAAAAGATAAAAGAAAAAATCACAATCAGTCTCACCAAAATATATTTAAACATTTCCATCTAGAGTATAAAAATATATATTTTTTACATTTTGATCTAAAGTCTAGAAATATTTTTTTCTAGTCCTTTTCGTTTCTCTATTTATTAATTAGTGGTGGTTGCTCTTGAGCTATGATAAAATTTCTCCACTTGAACCACTAATTAATAAAACCTAAAACATGAGAGGAAAACACTGCAGACTGTAAGTGAAAACATTGTTTATTATAACCATGTTTACACAATTTTGCTCTTCCCACGAAAAAAAAAAAAAACTCCACCATGTTTACACAATTTTGCTCTTCCCATGAAAAAAAAAACTTAAAACTAACTATGGGAAGCATTGATGTATTTTCACAAGTCCTACTAGTCATTATTAAATTGAACAAAAATAAATAAATCTTTTTCAATTTCAAAAGCATATTGAAACAACTAAAATGTCATTAAAAGCAAAAAAAAAAAAATTGCATCAAGAGGCTTTTTTTGTATTTCCATAATAGGGTTTTTATTATTTTCAAGTCAATTGGGAGGCAATTCGATAATAGAATAAATATAAAAATCAAAAGGTGGCTAGCGCATGTGTTCATATTCTTTAAGCGACGTGTTCATATTCTTTAAGCGACGCGTATGGTCTTCCGGCAACCAAAATCCCCCGTCTACTATGTTGCTGATAGTGTCCTTTTCTTTTGAGGTCCATACTTAAGGTTAGTTCTGACAGGATTGGCATCCCATGACATTTTTTTTTCTCTTCTCCCTTTATATTCACGATGGCCATGCAAAATTTTAGTATTATCCTACAATTTCTAAAGATTCACTTCTATGTTTTTTTATAGCTCTTTAATAAAATTTGAATTTGTTTTCAATTATATTCCTTAATTCTAATTTGTAATTTATTATATCTTTTAATTTAATCATTATTTTTTTAATTTTCTTTATAAAGTTATTTTTAATTTTTAATTTTACTCTTTAATCAAAAAATTATTTTTATTTCAATTTTAGTTTATTCTTTAGATTTTTTTCTCTTCTTTTATTAAATTAATTTCTCTTTCTAATTGCTCTTCCATCAAAAATAAAATTTAGTTTGTATTTCAAATTTAATTCTAAAAAAAAAATTATATAATTGAAATTCTATATATTTTATAAAATAAAACCAATATTTAATTTAAAATTTCATTCTTCAAGATACATTCAAAACATCTAAGTAAGTCCCACCACGTACCACACCTCGCCTCTAAATAGGTAGAAGATGTTCATAATTCAATCACATTGATCGAGTAGGACTCGTTGGGAGTTGGGCAAAATTTAAAAAAAAAATTAAAATTAATTTTTTTATTTTAATATCTTTTTAATATATTAATATAAAAAATTCAAAAATTATATTATTTTAAAACATTTCCAAACAAAAATACTTTAAAATATAACTAAAAACCCATCTCAAGGCTGAGGTTCGAGTAAAGCCAAACGAAGGGTAATTTACCATGTTTGGGAACTTGGTTCTGCTACCAGAAAAAAAAATGGCTACCTTTTAAATGACTAGATAAAAAAGAGAAGTCATAAGAATATACACCATGACCCTAATCCTAATTTTCCTGATCTGAGCAACTATGATGAAGGCATAGTATGGGTCTGATGCAGAAAACTATTTCAGTGCGCACTAACTGGATCATACAACTCACCAGCACAGCACCCACTGGGTGGATTTCAATAGAGCTATAACTAATAACATAACGTCACGGTGACCTCCAGACGATAAGCTCCAGTACATACCCAACTTCAACCAAGTAAAACCAGCAAAGACCCAGAGCATGCAAGCATCAAAGGTCAGTATTGGATGCTTCTAGTTCCGCTAGCAATTTAAACATGGTGGCTGTTTACCAATCTGTCCATCACCTACGCCGAGATGCATTTGCATGCTGCTGAGCTTTACTCTCAATCCTGA